CCAAGCACATGGGGCGGGGGGGCTGTGCTCTTGTGGGATGCTTCATCCACCCCATCATCTCAGCATTCATGAGCTTCACCTGGTACCTTGAGATATGTAGAAAAAACATATAAAGCTGTGTCTATGGCTGAATTGCTGATTCTCCGAATCAGAATTGAATCTTCAGATTTGGATTCGGGCGAATTGAATCAGGACAGTGATCCCAATCAGTGAATTAAATCCTGTCCCCTGAGTCAGGCCGAATCTGAATCAAAATAGAATGCAGCCCACTTCACACACCCCTAGTGCAGAGGCATTGCCCGGGGACAACTAGCAGAGGCAGAAATATGTGCTGCTGCTAGTTGTCCCTGGGGAAACACATGTGAGTGCTCATCTGGTTGTGCCCTGTGACAACAAATATTTGCAATAGTTACTCTATGTGTGTTATTGTTGATGGGAAAGAAAAAAAAGCCCTAAAGTTTTCCTGAATTTTTTTAATCATGTTTTCTTTGGCTCATTATACTACTGTTTCCTCCACAGGTCTGAGGGGGTTGGATAAGTCAAGGAGGCATTAAGCAGCCTTTTCAAGAGAGAGAAAAAAATCTTAAATAATTTAATCACATAAAGTTTTATATTGCAGTCAGAATAAGCCCTTTTTCGTCTGTTGCTTTCTAATGGAGTGCCTTTCTCTAGTAACGCTGGCATTATCAATGACACTTCTTTAATGTGTTCCTCAAGTTTTTGAGGTAATTATCTGGTCTTCAATTTTCAATGCAGCCATGTCGCATCAAAGATCTGGATGTATTCAGGGTTTTTTTAAAATAATATTGCTTCCATATTTTTCCCGGTCAGCATGACACAACATTTTTCTATGCATCTGGAGTGACAACTCCATCACCTTATAGTGTGTTCTACACCAGCGGCTGCTTAAAAGCAAAAAGCATGACATGATCAAAACCATTCAGCATCTTTGTTCATTGTTAGCTATCCTATATTGTACTTTATGCTTCAGGCACAGAAGTCTTATTTAGGGTGCAATTTACCACCTTTCTTATCTGTCTGTCTTTAAGCAGGTCACCAACCTCAAAGCCTGAGTGTAAGTCATTTTTCTAAGCCTGTCTATTGTTTCATATCCTGCATAAAAGGTGTGATCCTTTGAATTACTCTATATTTTCAACTCTTCGTAGAGGATTGAGTTTCTAGTCCATAGAAGTAGCTATATATAAACCTTTCCCCTGTAGTTCCTCCCCCTAATAATCTGTCACATAAAACTTGGGCAAATAGATTTTTGACATGGAAGATTGTGCCCTCCAAAAACATAAACTGCCTGCACTAGCAATTTTCTCTTTGATTATCATCCCTCCTTGGGTGCTTACGAGTAATACCAGATCCCAGCATGGGTTTCTGAGTGCCTGGGCTAAGAGAGATGCTGCTTTGATTCGGTGTACTCTTCCAGTCTATTTTTTAACTGGATTTTTTGGCTCCCTCTTCCCCCCCCCCTCACATTGTTGCTTTGATTGGATAGGTCATCATTGGAAAGAGTGAGCTTCTAAAGGAAGAATTAAGTCTGAAAAATATGACCACTCAGTGAAGGACGTAGGGTTCTAATGAGGTGCCTAAATAAAACTCTTGGCAGGCACTATTTTTGTTGCAGTGGCCACCCTACAAGAGATACCAGATAAGCAGTATGAACATCTCATCACCTATTTTCAGGTCATGATAATTGCCAGGAAATTCAGAGAAACCTTTTACCACTTTGGTGGGTCTACGAAGATTAATGGGGGGGGGGGGAAATGAACAATTTATAAATTATTCCTTATCAGAGGGATCCCCAGCTCTTCATTACTGTAGTCATAGAAGTATCTATTTTAACACCATTTAGTCTGAATTCCTATATAGCATAGAGTATGTGCATAACCTGAAACAAAATTTCTGACAAAACTATTTTTTAGATAGATGGCCAATTGTGATTTAATTTTGTAATGAGCTGGAGAATTCATCATAATCACTTATGTTATTTGCTTCCAGATTACATTTTCTTTACCTGACTGTCATCTCTGTGCATAGCTATGCCCATTTTTCACACCTACCTTTTGGCTTCTCCTTTCACTTCCAATCTCCTAGACTAGTTTCCCTTTAGCAGCCTCCTCATCTCAGTCTCCCTTTCTGCCTTATACCTTACTCTGCTCCTCCTTCCAGGTCCCAGTTCTAGCCCCCCTCACCTATTTTCCCTGAGTAATTCTCATTTCCCCAATCTATTGTTCCCTTGTTAAGTCAAGTTTGTTAAATTCTAGCTTGAAATAGGACAAGGATCATTGAGAACACAATGAGCATTGAGGGGAGCATCCCATAGCACTAAGTGGCACATCTACATGTGTAATTAATGTGAAGCAATAACTCTGGAGCTTATTGCTCTGGATTTTATTGCTTCAGAGCATGCTGTTTGAATGTGCACCTGGAAACACAACACATTAAGCCAGGTCAGAGCAGACCCAGCTGGCAGGGGGGCCCTGGGTGTCAGCCTGCTGGCCCAGGGCTGCTCCCTGCTGGTTTAATGTGCTGCAGAGGGGCTGGCTGGGGCACAAGGTGCTCCAGTGTGGGGCTAGGCAGAAGGCAGCCCCAACATTGAAGCACCCTTGTGTCCCAGCCAGCCCTGTCAGTATCTACACATGTCCTGTGAAGTAAAAAACTGCAGCAGGATAGTACTTGTGTTTAATTGGTTTACTCCAGTCTAACAGGAGTGCACATGTAAATGTGTGACTTTTATTGTGGAGCTAGTTAGTCTACTCCACAGTAAATGTCTTGTGCATAGTGGCACAGCAATCAGCATAAGGCAAATCATGCTCAGCCTCTGCAGTTTTGGGCAGACATACTCAGTGAAGTTTTGGGCTATAACATACTCAGTGAAGACAAAACCTTTACTAAAGTTAATTACCTCTACTGAGGATGTATACAATGGCAGCTTTTTGAATTACCAAATATCCTTACTGGCTCCAAAGTATGGGAACAAAAGGATTCCTTGACTTAGGTGTTGTTGAAAAAAAAATGCATTGTAAGGTTATATATAATCATAGAATCATAGGGCTGGAAGGGACCCTGAAGGATCATCGGGTCCAGCCCCCTGCATGAGCAGGAAAGACATCTGGGGTCAGACGGGCCCAGTCAGGTGACCGTCCAGTCTTCTCTTGAAGACCTCTAGGGTAAATGATTGCACCACCTTTGGGGGGAGCTTGTTCCATAGTCCGGACCCCCTAGTTGTAAGCAAGTTTTTCCTAGTTTCAGGCTGAACATTATCTTCTAGGAGTTTGTGGCTATTGTTTCTAGATTTCCCCCAGGACACCCTGGTGAACGTTGTTCACTGAGCCTCTGCTGTATGCCTCTGATATCTAGGTAAGCCACAATCAGGTCCCCTCTCAGCCTTCTTTTCTTTAGGCTGAAGAGTCCAAGATCCCTCAGCCTTTCCTTGTATGCCTTGCCATGCAAGTCCCTAATCATATGGGTGGCCCTTCTCTGGACCCTCTCAAGCTTTAGCATGTCCTTGTTGAAGTGCGGCGCCCAGAACTAGATGCAACACTCCAGTTGTGGCTGCAAAAAGGTTGAGTAAAGTGGGAGAATCACTTCTTTGGATTTACTGGAGATGCATCAATTGATGCATGCCAGAGTTTTACTGGTCCTAGCAGCTACTGCGTCACATTGCCAGCTCATATTCATGCTGGGGTCTATTGTTACCCCCAGAAGTGTGTGTGTGTGTATATATATGTGACGGAAAACACTTTTCCCCCTAACCTCATGGAAGAAGTAGAAAAAATATTGTAACAAGTCTCCAATATCCTAGCACAGACAGCCAGTGCAGAAGATTTTAGCCTAAGTGGTTAACATTTGTTTAAAGATGAGAACCAGATCCTATAACAGGAAATGTCAATCCTGAAACAGAAAATAAGGGAACACATATGGAAAGCTTTACATGGAAACTGCTGTAGTTCAAAAATCATGTAGAAGCTGCTACATGGAATCTACTGTAGTCTAAAACTTTTTTTTACAGGCCTAGTAAGGCACTTGAACAGAAATCAGAAGTGACAGGGTAGGGAAAATAAAGTTTTTAAAGCATTTCTGACTCAGTCTCTGAACCCTGACTATATAGGGGCAGATGTGGGTCTTGAGGTGGTAGAGTTCACCTTTCAATTCCTCCTCTACTCTTGCCATCCAAGTCAGCTGAGGGTCTGAAACTGCTGGAGCTGGGGTGTCTGGCTCCTTTTCCTAAGTTGCATGGGCAACCACAGAGGCCAAGAGCCTGCTCCTGCCTAGACTCACTATTGCCCATATATTGGTTATCTTGCTTGAGAGAGGCAGTGATTTGCTTTGATTCAGAAACATTAAGGAAAAGCTCATCAAAGGGAGCAGTGAGCAGAAAGATGTGATCAGGTGTATTCAGTAGTTATCTGTGTTTCAATCCTCCCTTCAACCACCACCTGTAGCATTTGCCAGAGAGTCTGTGACTTTAGGAACCTTTTACTTGACCTGTGGGAGAGATCATCCTTGACCATGAGGGATAGCGGCTGATAAGCAAAAGTGCTAATCACCTCATTGCCCGAGATAATAGGCATTAACTGCATATTTTCTCAGCAGCCTCTAGTAGAAGCAATCCAAAGTCATTTAAGTAGGTCAGAGAGGGAAGCTCTATGTGATTTTTCTCAAAATTAAAAGAAGAATATACAGCAGAGGAATTCTTTCATATAAGGAGGTCCCCCAGGCAGCCTGCTGACTGGAGGACCTTCAGGGAACAAATCAAGATCATGAAAAGAGTAACTATACTCATTCCTCCTCACCCTTAAGAGTGAGCAACTAACAACTTGCCTCAACATCAGCAGTAAGTTCTTATTTAATCAAATATCGTTCTTTGGGATGGACATGCCTTGTTAAGTAGCTGTATTATGTTGGGCATCACCAAATATTTGTATAAATGTTCCCAAAAGCAGTTTAAAAGCCTGTGTTCCAAGTCCAAGCACTTTAATAGGGTCTATTCATTGGAAAGGGTCTTTCCAGCATCAGATCACAGGCTTGTGTAGAACTAATTGTGCAGTTTTGTCATAAAGATGTTCACAATTGATGGAGCTCTGCATATTCCCATGGCTGCACCATCAATTTGTCAACAGTGTTTGCTGTAAAATAAAAAGATGAGCACATAAAAAAAAAAACAAGTTTAGCAAGAATGTCTCTATTGTTTCTCTATTGGTTTTTGTTCAATTATTTTGGCATTGTTATGTAATGAAAGTGGTACTCTATTCATTTGATGCATATAGGAAGATAACCACATGCAATTTTACAGCAGAATTATTCAGCATTCAGGCAAAGAAGGATAAGTGATAAAACTATTCACTTAAGCCCAGATCCTCAAGCCTGTAGCCCTCTTTCATAGCTGGCATGAATTATGATGCCAGTTACCTGTTCCTTTCCTCTCATTCCTCATGGGGCAAAAATGAATGGGGGCAGCAGAGGCAATAGCCTCTCAACCAAATCTTAAAGCAGAAGCTTCCTTTGACCTCATGGCACATTGGTTGATGTTGACGGTCAGTGCAGAAATACAATTCTAGCCTGAAACTAGTAATTACTGAAGCTTTAAAACTTGCTACTCAGAATAAGAGGTAGTATAAAAAGAACAGAGCATAAAAGTGTCTTGTATAGTGGTAAATATATTCTGCATCCTCTACATGGCATGTTAAAGCCACAGAACCTGCATATTTTCACACTCCCTAACCATGGTTATTTACTGTGTGCCAATTGATGTCCAGCAAAGATCAGTGTGGTAAATTATTAGCAAATACTGACTTTTAAAATCTAAACCACCATGGATGTAAACTAAACTAAATTTTCCTAGAGGACCAAAAATCTCATATGATACTATAAATGACTTATGCATTATTTCCTTCATTAATTCTACTATTTTAGTCTTTTCTAAATAAATACACGTGCTTTGGTTATATCATTGTACTGTCCTTGTCTTCCTTGACATACTTATCTCTTTACTGGGTAACTGTTGCAATTGTTTTGCTATCCATTTTAATGATAACAGCAAGTAATACGAGTACTAACAAGATGTCATTCTTTCTTGTATGGAGAGGTCATCAAAAGCTAGATAGTGGATAACAGTCAACATGCCTGTGAACAGATAGGAGGAAAATGTTCAAGATAGCATTTCTATCATCAGGTTGAGTTAATATATTTTCAAAGCAGGAGTGCTTAAAAGAATCATGGACAATCTTAATGGGGTTAAGGGCCTAATAACTTTAAAAGTACTCTACTGTTTTACAGACACCTTAATGTCATTTTTCATTTGTGATGTATTATGTTCTTCAACTAAGAAGCAAGTTAACAGTAAGGGCCTGGGCAAGACATTTAATGTCATTCTGAGTCAAGGTATTCCTTTAAGATGTGCAATTTGTTTTTTTGGTGGATGTACCTTATTTTTCTGTCTCAGAAATGCCTTCCATATTGGAATTATGGTCTTTTAAAAAGAATATCAAAACACAACACATTGGAATTTTAGGCATTCATACTTTTAACATTCTCCACCATCCAAAAGAGAGAGAGAGTTTTCAACAGTTTACTATTTCTGTACAATTATAAAAAGCTTATTATCTCAAACTATTAAGGCAGTTCCTAGATTTAGCCTGTCTTATATTTATATATATAAACCTGGTTGTAGGTTATTTTTAATCCAGGCAACTACAGGATCATATTCCAGTTAAACAGAAAATGTCAGAAAAAGGATTTTAAAATTATAATTTTTATTTTTTAAACTCAGAATTTCTACTGCTACTCCATAAACACTATAAAAACTAAACGAGTCCTAAATCCATCTGGTTCCAGATGACTGCTTTCTGCAATGCTGAACTTGCACTTTGGAAAGCAACAAAGTTCAGGTATTATTTACAGAAGAGAATAACTTCACTAATATGTAAGTTATGTTGAAAATCCTTAACAGTGCACTGTGCTTCTTGCAATTTACAGAACATAAGAATATATTTAATATACTCAAAAAGGTTGTTATATTAGGAAATGTTGATTCCAGAGGACATTTTTCCATGGTCTTAACTCTACTTGATCTCATATTTGTCATAAGGAGTCTCTAAGCAAGTGTCCCCTCAGATCAGCTGCAATGCATATAATACATTTGGGGCCTAATGGAACATATGAATACGAACCCCAGATTCACTCTAGGATAAGAGGTAGTTTTCTTGGGCATGAATAAGGTACTGTATTGTTTCTATTGTGCCTTAATATCCTTCCCTCACCTCTGCCCTGAGTAGGAGAGTGACAACGAAGGTTCAACTACCTGAAGAGAGGTTCCAAAGAGGATAGAGCTAGACTGTTTTCAGTGCTGGCAGATGACAGAACAATAAGCAATGGTCTCAAGTTGCAGCAAAGGAAGTTTAGGTTAGGTATTAGGAAAAACTCTCACATGGAGGGTAGTAAAGCCCTGGAACAGGCTACCCTGAGAGGTGGTAGAATCTCCATCCTTGCAGACTGTTAAGACACGGCTAGACAAAGCCTTAGCTAGAATGATATAGCTGGGGATCGTCCTGCTTTGAGCAGGGGTGGGACTAGATGACCTCCTGAGGTCCCTTCCAACCATAATTTTCTATGATTTTATAAAAAGCACTGCTCGTTTTTGACAGGTTTGGATTCCAGGAAGGTAAGTGGAAGCTCAATAGAGGTCCATAATTTTTTTAACTCAGTTTAAAAGATTGTCTATGCAATATGGATTAAGTTTTTTCCCTCATAAGTACTGATTTACTTAGCTAGACAGACAAGCACATCATACAACCTTTACATACTTTCCTGACCCTTTTTTATTTTATCCTGTGTAAAATAAGTTTAAAAAAAAGTGTTTAACTAAGTAATAAAATGGCAACTAGCTGAGTGGTTCTCAACATGTTGCTCTCAGGTCTTCCCACAGCTCCAGAAATTTGGGGGTTGTGGAAGAAGAGGCAGCATTAATTGCCATGACAATGAATGCTGCCATTGATCCTCTTCTGCCAAGTTTCTGGGCCCATGGTGAGCTCTGTGGGCTAGATGACAAGGCCCACACAAGCCAGATCACACTGTCATGCAAGGTTCCTCCATGCCAAATATGGTGCAAGGGGCTGAGCCTGTATGCTGGACCACACCTGTGGACCAACTCTATACCTTGACCCCACACTGGATCTGGCAATGGGACTAAGATGGTGGACATGTGTAAAGTTTTACACATTTCAGGTAATAGCCCTCTTCCTGAGGTGGGCCAGGGCCCTTGGGCCCCCATGTACTCAGTACCTCCGCTTGCAGGGTTGAAAGGTTGAGAACCATTAAATTAGCCAGTTGAAAAATGGTCAATATTATAAAATAAATTTCTACACACAAAAGGACAGTACCTGCAAGTGCTTAGAACAATGAACTAAGGATGTGTATTTACTATTGTTTAAAATTTGCATGCTCGTTATGAGCAGTACTTAAACCTATTGATTGTTGGGAGGACAGAGATCTCTTAAATCATTACCACCAGCAGGAGTGTAAAATATAGAGAGAAAGGAAACCTGACTCTTAAGTTCTTTCCTATGAATACATCTCTAGAACCGTGATGCGCTTTGCTTTAAGCAATCAAAAAAGCACTCTGGCAAATCCCCAAAAACACAGCTTTGTGAGTACTCTGAACTATGTAGAACTGGAAAAATGGGCTAAGAACACCTACTAACAAGGACTACAGCTGAGATTCAAAAGCACAGGTGTTGCATCACATGAAGAGCATCTGCTTCACCAGCTGTTGTCACCATTTCACTGCAAGCAGGCACCTAAACATATTCTCCCCAGCAGTGTTATTTATTCATTTGGGGAGAATGATAGGTGACTAACTTCCAGGACCAGATGTGATTATTATATTAAAGAATAATTTGGTCAGCCACAAGTGGACCATTGGCTTCAAACTTTGGCATGTACCCAGTATCTACTGGAGAGTTGACAGATGTATTGCCTGGGACAGGAGAAAAAATAATGCTATTTCTTGCACTGATGAATGCACATCAGTTGTTAACCCAAATGAGAGAGCATACTGTGAGAAATTTCAGTAAATATCCAAGAAACAGTGGTCACAACTGTATTGTGTTTGTGTTGTATAAATAGACTTCTAAAATTAATAGCTGCTAAGCCATGATTTTTCTTTTAGCTAAGGTAACTGCTCTAAATTTGGGCTGCAAAAAGGTGCTGACCCTCTGCAGCTCCGATTGAATAGAAAGAGTTTTGTGAGCAGGCAGCATTTCTGAGAATCAGATATTTTTTTCTATTTCAAGCATCATTTCAGGAAGGTGAAAACTTTTGAGATGAGACCTAACAGAATTTATGAAAAGTATCTAAAAATATCAAGTCTCTAACAGTGCTATAGGTTTGATGGAAAATAAAACTTTAGCGGAATGGCAAGCAAAAAATGTAGTGATCTATAGGCTATGTCCAAATAAAGCATTTCAACACGTCAGTGCCTAAGTTGAGGTACCTTGCTGCTAGTAGACTCACAGTCCTGTGTTAAATGCTCAGGATTTTCAGTGGGGTGCATCTACATGAAACGCTACTGTGCAGTGGTTATTGCACATTTATTTAGTATTTATATAATCAAGTAATAAATAAATGTGCAGTAACTGGGGTTACTGTTCAGTAGCACCAGTGAACACCTGTTTAGTGACACTACTGAGCAGTAGCCTAATAATATTGGACCGTAGTACATTAGCACTGTTTGTGCTGTGATGCGCTACTGCGCAGTATAATTCAGGTACTGCACAGTTAGGATCTCATGTTGATGTGCCTACTGTCTGTGAAGAGTTAGGTGCCCTATGATGAGCCTAAAAACCCATCGTGTCCAGTGGGGAACTAGGTAAGCTAGCAGCTAGAAATGCCAAGAAGGTGCCCTCTCCTTGGGATTTACAGCTTCGACCTTATCCTTGACTTAGGTGACCAAGCCAGATCTGCTTGTGAACCCTGACAGGATAGAGTTGTGAACAAGGTTCCCAGATGCTTCAAGTGTTAGGATACAGGTGGCTCTGTGCATGCGAAGCAGTAGGGGATTTTAGATGCAGAAATTTAGACACCTACCGGGGGAGGTGGCAGCTGAACAGGGGTCCTTCACTGTACATTTAAAATTTTGATTCTCAAGTGGTAGTGAGGTGCCCAAGGGCTTTTGTGTATCTAGCAGCACACGAACACTCAAAAAAGACATATAGTATTTCAGGGTGCCATTAAAGTCAATAGCTTTCCCCCTCTAGCAATGTCCCTGGATCTGGTATGTGCTCCAACCTCCACTATTCTGATTGCATGTTGAAAGAGGGTAAACTTGGTCTGGGCACACGGTCCTAATGGTCCATTATTTACTCTTTCTGATGGATAATATAATTAGTCCTGTAGATTAGATAAAGATGATGCAACTTCCCATTTAGGAATCTCTGCAAGTCTTGTGCTCTGCAAAAAAGTTCTTCTAAACATAAGAAATGGAACTCAAAACATTGATAGCTACTTTGGGCTCAAAATACCAACCAAAACAAACAGCCCAGCCATGAAAGAGGACAGCATAAAATACTCCCTCCCACCAAAACAATAAAAGTAGATTTAATAACAGTAAATACACTCCTTTCCAACAGAGCTTTTACCTGAAAAGGGGTAGAAGTGCTATCGACTCCAGGAAGTCTGCTGGGAAATTCAATAATGCTATTGATTTTATGTGGAAAGTGCTCATATACTACAGTAATAGGTAGCAGTATAAAACCCAAAGATAGATAACTTTGGAGGGGTATATCTATGGCCAAGTGCAAGGCCATACTGTCCCGAGGAAGGCTGTAGAAAATAAAACATTTCCCTGGTACAGAGGGGAATCCTTCACTGCTACAATTTATAAAATGCAGTACACTCCTCTCGCTGCATGCTGATGATACCCTTTAAATTGGTGGAGAGAGGCAATTTCCACTTGGGATGCCATATGTCCCAGGGTTTAGAAAAGAGACTGCAAGACTAGTTGCCTATTCTACACAGGGATGGAAGAGGAAGATTCCAGTTAGGAACCCCTCAGCAACTAAAATCTGACCCTGTGCAAACAAGGATTTCTCTGCATTTCCACGCCTATGTCTAAGAAGTTGAAAGTTTGGCACAGAAATTCTGTTTTGGATGGAATTCAGTAGATAGAGTCTTGAATAATACTGTTATTTCTAGTTATAAAACAAGCATGAAGAAAATCAACTGTATAATTTTAGGAACTGATTTAAATGAACAAACTGTAATGTTCAAATAAGAAATAAAAAAGGCACAGTGGAGTCTGGGGGAAATGAAAATAAAAGACATAATTTATCTTGTTTCCATAGAAGAGATATTCAAGAGATTCTTCTATTGAGGATAAATTAGAAATAACAGAAAAGGGGATAACATTTATCCTTATTAATTAGAATATATTTTTCAAAAAGTACTAGCAAAATAGTCCTCCTTTCCAGTCCAGCTCAGGGTAGTGATCTGCTTTCCAATTCCCCCAGGCACTTAGAAAGCAGTTTGCAGCCCATACTTTCTAAGTGGAAAGCACTTGGAGTGAGATATTTTCAAGTCAGTGAAACTACATTGGCCAGTCTGTGCTCACTCCTTACATACCTGTATGGAAAGGAGAACAGTATCCATGAACTCTCTCACTCCGTCTCTGCCTTTACCCACATACCGGGCATGGGCAACCCAGGAAAACAAGGCAATTATGGGCAACAGTAATATTTTCTTTAAATGACAATACGAGCCCTGCTGGAAGGTTAAGGAAGTGGGAGATCCAGGAATACCCTAAAGGAAGGAGAAGCAAGCATGAGCATATTATAATCTGTAAACATAGTTTGATTCAATTCCCCATCATGAGGCGTGACAACTTTATAACTTTGTTTGTGTAGCAAGTCTCTCAAGACTCTTACGGTTATACTGATAAACCATTTTTCATTCTGTTATTGCTAAATTCTGTTCAATTTAAACATATGGAAAGCCATTACAGTCAATGGTTGTATTAATGGCTTCAAAGGAAAGAGATTTTGGCTTAAATCATTAAATATGGATGTTCGTTTTGCAATTGGATCCGTGCTGACAAAACTCTATTGCTGGGCTTGGAAGCAGCACAGAGATTTCTCTTTGCAGGCCTAAAAGTAGGATCAGGACCTTTTCTGCTGGGATTAATGTGCAGTTTCCATTGCTAACCTGAAATGGCTATTCTATCACTAAATCCACACTACTGTTCACAACCCTTTATCCTCAATATTAGCATCTGTTGAATGAACTAAATTAAAATTCTATATATTAAACTAACATTTTATTCTCATTGATAGAACTAACTCTGTAGTTTTGGCATCATTTTCATTCTTACACTCAGTTAGTCTACAACACTGAGGGTTGCCCTATCTACAACAAAATTCTGACCTGTCTACAAAAAAAATCATATTGCTTCCGGTAAGTGCATTGATGAACAAGGGCCACGGACTGTACTGCTGTGTGGGTAAAATCTGAAAACAGATTAAAAAGAGGTTATGAAATTATTTTCCACATCTTTTTCTATCAGTCTGAAGGTAAAACTGGGCTACTCTTATTAGTACAGGATACAAACCTTAGCCACAACAACGAAAGATACATAATAAATGTATACAGGCCCATGATTCCTTTTCCTTTTAATGGATTTACAGAATAGATATAACGCTGTGTTTAGCATTATATCTTATTTGCAAACACATTCTGCACACTTAGCTGATATAAGTTTTAATATCTTTAATAAAATGCTCTATAAACATCATTATTAAAATGCAAGTCTGAAAGCAAACTAAGGAGAATATGTATCCACTATCTGGGTCATAGTCTAAACAATTTATCATAGTTATAAATATTTAATGTATATGCATAGCGTGCTATACCAAAGAGCTCTTTGAGGTTTTTCAGTAGAATTTTTATTAGCAGGATAGTTAGGGTTTTTGGGGGGTGGATTTCTATGTATCCAGAATGGCATGTTTTATATTGTCCAGATTTTTTTAGTGACTGCTATATCTGATCTGGATAGTTCGCAAAGGAGCTAGGTTAGTTTTCCCATCTACTAGTGGACAAACTCTGTTTGGAGTTGCAGGTAGGTATAAACATTCAAAAGGCCTGAGGCAGAATCGATCTAAGTTAGGCAGCTTTCTGTAAGCAGCGTAGTTTAGATTGGTAACAAACAGAACACACATGGGCCCTTCAGTTGTTTGAGGACATCTTTACACATGCCCTGGAGTGTGTGTGTGTGTGTGTGGGGGGGGGGGGGGGATGTGTTTAAATTAGGGTGGCTTTTGGAAGCTTAAAAAAACTTCTGCAGTGTCTCATGTATTCAGCATCCTGCACTTCAAAATGGTGACAAGGACACTAACTAAAACTCATCAAATGAGCCACCATTTTGAAACATGGGGACACTGCATACGCAGAGACTGATGGAGCATTCTAATTAGAGCAAGTGCTGAACACATATATTGGTGCATTTAGACAGGGTTCTTCCATTTTTAAACTAGTCTGTGTGTGCCAAACTTCCATTCTGTTATAGGTGTAGAATGGTTTCCAATCTCTTATACCAGTAAAAGTGTGCTGTCTGTACCTAGCTTCAAAGTCTACCAGCGTTTTATGTCATTTTTACCAATAAGAAATTTGCAAGAAGAGAAATTAATTCCCTCTCCCCTAGCTGTGCTGCCTCTGTAATGTTAGCTAAGTTGAAGTACAATGTACATTGTGACTTTTGACACTAAACTAAGCAGAAAGAACACCTAAAAAAACCCATGGAGTGCATCCCCATGAGCAGGACCATACGTTTCCTCAGGGACAACTGGCAGTGACACATATTTGTGCTCACTGGCGATGTGTAGGGGGTGCACAGGGGTGCTCATAAACCCTGTGAGAGCACTGGTGCACCCCCTGACCGGACACGCTCCCCACTTAGGCGACGGGAAGGAGGGAGCACCAGTGCCCCCCCTGCAAGCACCGGCCAGGGAGTGCGAGTGCCTGGATGAAGTGCTGCGGCTGCTTGCCGGTCGAAGTGCTCAGCCACAGGGGGACCATCCCCCTGATTGGAGAGATTGGCTGTGGGGGGATCCCCCCAGTCACTGACTCACATGCTCCTCCTAACTAAGGTGGCACTGGTCGCCCATGTTTGTGCTGCTGCTAGTTGTCCCTGGGCATGCCCCTGCATGTGTGCTCTGACACAAGGCCAATGGCCCTGGGTAGCATAGGGGAGGTCCAGCACTTGGGCTCACTCCAGAAGCCTTACCTGGGTCCCTGGGGGCCTTCTGGGGCTGCAGCAGTTTCCCTACCCACCACCAAGACCAGGGGTAGAGCCCAGGTGCCCTGGCTTCTAGCCATGGCCCTGTTCACCAGCCCTCCAGTAGCAAGTGAGAGCTGTGCAGGCAAGAAACTGTATTAACCCTTAACACATGAGTGCTAACAGCATGTTTTAACTTTAACACTGTTTAATATTTCAAGTTTATTACAGTCTTAAGTGTAACATGTAACTTCACCCCTATGTATTCACCATTTACCATTTAAGCTATTGAACCATTGGTTCTAATTCCTCATCAGTAGAATGACTCTGGATAAAACATCAGCTAGAAGTAAATTGTTTGCCTAGAGGAAATGATATTTCTTGGTTATAGTTCACCACATTCTTTCAATCTGTCAGGTTCTTCAAACATATTAATTAAACATTTCAGCAACATAAACCACTGCCAACAACTGTTTTTTCCCCCCAATTTGTGTATATTTTTATTGAGTGTAACTTAGAGCTCTAAATGCATACTGAGAAACAAATCTGTGTAAAGCATCCAAGTCAGGTTTTTACACAGTGCTTGGACTCTATAATCCATAGAAACATGTGGATTAAAATAGGACCATAAGGATAAACTATCCATCTAGCATGCTTTCTACTATTGGGAGGCAATAGTATGCCATGGTGAATACATGCAGCTATGTTATTTTGCTATAGCCACAATGGCACTCTTCTGGGTAAATAAGTGTGGTGATAATATTCTGACTGAGAAGGGATAGGCAAGGCAAATTGAAGACTTGACCATAGCCAGCATTTACAGAATGTTTTTTTTAATATGCCGAAGCTAATATTTGAGTTGCTTTAAAAATAACTTGATGAGCTTCAAACCCTTGTGAAGTCAATACTTCAATCATACCTCAGTTGCTTTGTACTGTATATTCTCTTTATTAAACTTAATGTTTTCATTTCCTGTTTCCTTTGTTATATTTCTTAGGAGGCTAGAAAACTCAGGCTCACCCTTATCAACTGCATACAGCAAAATCATGTCATCAGCATCTATGCATATTCGGAAACAACATCAAATGTGTTTCATTTGTTGTTGTTTTTTTTGCTGGAATATATCACTGTCATATTTAATGTCAAATAACAATATGCAAGATTAGTAGCATCCCCATTTGTCATTCAGGGCATGTCCACACATGCAAACATGTGCGCTTGCAGCAGCTCAAATAGAAGCGGTACAAATTTGAGCCGGGGTTTTTTATCTCAGCACACGTACTCAGACATGCACTTTGGTGTGGAGCAAATTGTGACAATAGGGGCAAAATAACTCTGCCTGGCTCCTCCTGGATCTGCAGCCAGGGGGAGCTAGAGCCTGGAGCCAGCACCTGCCACCCGTCACCCCCCACGACACCTATGAAACCTCCCAACGTACCTTGGACAGCGCTGGGGGCAGCAGAAACACCAGTGAAATGCTCTGGCCAAAACCAGAGTATCTTTTTTGGAGGACTGGCTCTGGGCACAGTCTTGAACCATGCCTTGCTCTGCTCTATTGCGAAGAGGTTTTTTTAGACCCCTGGATATCTACGGATCTAATTTTTTACTTGCTACATGCTAGATGGATAGTCTACCCCTATTGGAAGGGGAATTCCAGAGGAAGATATACCAGGACACAAGGTGTGCTATATTCTGATACAGATCTAAGGAGCAAAAAAGTGTTAGATCCATCATGTCCTTTGGGATATTTTCTGTGGCAGGCTGGTAGGGGGTGCCCTGCACTGAGCCACCTACCTCACTGCGCCCAACCACCTTCCAGGCACCAAGTGACTCCCTGGGGGTGCCTCATGTCTGGCTGAACCCCATTCCTGTAGCACACCCACTAGCCTGGGGGTAATGCCACCACCAACCAGGGTCTGGAGTGATCCTGGTTCTGTACCCCATGGGAAACACAGGCCTAGTAGCCCTTGTGGGTACTTGACCCACTTCAAGAACTTGGGGTGTTTCCCTCAGTCTGAAGCACAAATAGTGGCCTCCCTTAGTCAGATGAACCAAGGGAAGCCCAAGGCATAATCTAGACCCTCTCCCAATAAGTATCCCATGCTAGGTACAAAGAAGAACTTTATTGGTTACAAGGAGTAGGTTTGGAATCAGGTACAGGGTAGAGCAATATCAGAGAAATCCCCTAGAGCAAACTGGCATGGCTCTGTAGCCTTTGATCAGACATCTGAGTTACTGAAAGCTATAAATCTAGTTAGATGTCAAGTAGCTTACTCATGAGTATCATTCAGAGGCAGTTGGAGATTCCCTCTGGAAGCAGGCAGCTCATTGATCATGAATTTCAAGAGACAAAGCAAGTTTCAGATGGTCCAGCTCTTCTCTCTCTGAGTTTTCATCATGGCTACTGCCCCTCCTCCTGGGCAGTCCTTAACTTAGACTTTATGACCTCATTTACCTGGTCCAATGGAATCCAGCACCTGTTGGCTGCCAGCCAACCTATTTGAAATGCATCACTGGTTGCTGGGTAGACTGG